AGAACTATATTTCTTTTTCCAGCTCTATTACTAGATTGTTCTAAATGACAGAATAAGCTTGTTTAAAGCTAAATATTGGAACATCCAGAGCTGACTTGCTGCAAAATTTCTTTTCTAAGACTTGGATAGTAGTAAGTCAATTGATAGGGAATTGATTTGCTTTTTCCAAACCCTTATGTGAACAGGTTGTATGTTGAACGATGTTTGAACAGAAGCAGTTTTAGTTATCAGACGTTGTATGACTCTTGCCATGCTCCCCCAACCCTTCCCAAAAAAGTCTTTTAAAGCTGTGTAGAAAAGCACAAGCTTTCTAAGCTTCCTGCTTGAAATTTTTTTGATCAGTTTTCAGAAATGACTTTTTGGTTAATATTTTTTTTTTTTTTGATTTACTGATTAGCTATTCTGAATAATCTTGAACAAGATGCAGGTTAACTTGGCTAAACATTCTTAATATTGAAGAGGAGGAACCACCGTGAAACAAATCCCCATTAACCCAAAATAAGTCAAGGTTTCAGTTTTGTTTTTGTTTTGTTTTTCCACTGAAGACCAGAAAGCAGATTTTTAGCTCTGCTGTCTCAGCAGTGTTTTAGATGCAGATGTTAGCAAAATGCTGTCGCAGTCAAATTACTGTTGCCAGAGGAAGCATGCCTTGACCTGGGCAACTGTAGGGAGTTGTGCTGGAAACTATCAAAACTTTCCTAAAACATGCTCAGCACAGTTTTGAGCATGGAGCAGTAACGGCTGATAAGCATAGTCACAGAAAAGGATGGTCAGAAACAAAGTGGACAAAGTGAGAACTACTAACATTTGGGACAGCGATCATCAGGCAGAGTGTAGCGGGTTTGAGAAATAGCAAGAAAGTTGGGAACAGGGCTCCTTAGCCTCACTAGTTTCTTACAGCTTCCAAAATTCTAGCTTTGAGAAATATTCCAGCAATATTTGTCTGTCCATTTATGTAGCAATTTTTCAGTGAAACAGAGGATAGGACATATAGAAACATCAAATTATAGTGCTCTTTAGAGCAATGCAGTTTGGACAAAATAGAGCAGAAGAACGTGAGTTGTTGTGTATTGCAGGCTGCCATATGTCGTTGTAGCCAGCCTCTTTCTGGATTCAGTGCACGCTGTCTGGAGGACGAACAAATGTTACAAGCAATCAGAGAAGCCAACCCGGGGAGTCCGTTCATGTATGTTGTAGACACAAGGCCAAAGGTATCTTTTCATGGGGTTTGTGGCTACTTCTAAAGCTTGCATCTGAATTAGTAATGCTGTTTCCAGTGAATTCTCTCATCACTCTGCTATTGCTTTCTTATGCTAAATTAAGTTAGTGTGTGGCTACATTAAGTTAGTGTGCATCACTCCTTAGTGATGAGTTCAATACCAGGCTCCTGGACCTAAATGTGGTTAACGCGTGCACATAGTAAACTGTAATGTTAAATGTTGTTAAGAATGCTTGGGCTCCTGGAGTATTCTGGAATGAGACTGAGGTTAAGAATGACCTAAAATGACTGGCAGCCTTGAGGCTGGCTGGGACAGTGAACCACGTTCCGGGGGAGAGCAGGGTTCTTAATATATTGAGTGGAGAGAAGCCTTAGGAACCGGTTCTGCGAGACTAAAGCGCTGTTATCAGTGGAGCTGGGAAGAAGTGGGCCCGTATGGAATTTGATAACAGTTGAGGAAGGCAGTTCCTCAAATTTTTGCCATTGTAAAAAATAATGTTAATGTTCTCATAATGTGCAGCTTAGAATTTAATACATTTCGGCTCTTCCTCATTGGTCAGTGTTCGGGCTGAGCGTCGTTGCTGACCTGTTTGTGTAACAGGTCAGCGAAGAAGCTTGCCAAAGGAAATCTGTAATGATTGTCCTTTTGAGGAATGGACAATTTAGAAAGTACTTTAAGCAAATACCTTGTAAGTATATTGATTGAGAGTATATGTATAAGCAAATTGGGACCCAGGGATTTGCACAGTCCACAAGTATTTAAATAAAAAGACTTAAAAATGCTCTGATTGTTTTAAAAATGAGCTTTCTGAGAACCTGCTTCACTGTTCACAGTTACTGGAATTATTTTATACAAACTACATATTTAGGTAAGCTATGGGGGGGACAAGAAAGGAAAAAAAGTTACTTTTGGGAAAACGTAGGGAACATCTCATCTATTGTTCCAAGATATATGTGTATATTTTTATAACGTGACATCCCCTAAAGAGAGCCTGTTCTCTGTGTGTTCTGTAATTAAATGCACGTTTATAGCAATCGCTGCATGTTCTTTTGGTATGGACAGCTTCTACTATCATAGATGTTCCAGTGAAATCTCTCATTGATGGCAGTTTTGCTATAAAGTACTTGATGGGAAAGAAGGGGAAAATTCCCCTTCCAAGCTGTCATGTTTTACCATGGATGGGTGGAATTGAAGCACGAAGTTATATAATTGTTCTAAAGATGTGCATCTTGTATCTGAATTTCCTTGCTTCTCTCCTTTCTATGGAGGCAAATAATTCCTCTTCCCAAATTTATCTGTCTAGGGCTGGAGGTACTCTTTCCTTGCAGACACTAAAGATTTCCTGGTAATGCTTGAGGTGTCTCGGATAATTTGGTTAGAGCAACTGGCTTCTTTTCAACCTTTTCTGCAGTTCCAGTTGGATGCTATATACTTTCTGCTCAACTTAAATGTTTCTGTGTTCCCCTTAGGTGGCTTTATTTCATCTGTGCATGTATGTCTGTGAAAAGCTTTGGAATTCTCTTACTATTTCTATACCACCATGTATGTATGTTACTCATAAAAATTGGCTTTCCTAGTTTTACTTTCATATGCTTTTGTCTGAATCTTTTTACATAGCTTCACAGTTAAGGCAGACTGAAAGTCTTTTTGACCTCTTTCGATGACAGCAGTCTTCTGCAGTGGGACAAAGTTTTGTTACTGCCTGTCCTAAGAAGTGTTCTCCAAGCTCTTAATGGGTTTCTGCATATGGCTAATTGACTGGAGACATTGACATAATTTTAGTAAAACTTCTGAAATAATGTGCGGGAGAGAGGGGAAAAAGTACATCTGAGTAGCCACTGTGTTCAGTATATGTTCTGGGAGATTTTAAAAGAAGAAGTCCTTGCAAAGCAGACTCGCTTATTTCTGTCTGTTGTTTGTTGTCATTTTTCTCTCTCTTTTTTTTTTTTTCCCCTTCTCTTGAATTTGATAGTTAAACGCCATGGCCAACCGAGCTGCTGGGAAGGGCTATGAGAATGAAGATAATTATGATAACATTCGCTTTAAATTTATTGGCATAGAAAACATCCATGTGATGCGGAACAGCTTGCAGAAACTCCTGGAAGGTAGGTATGGTGCCTCCTTGATTCTTTGATACCTAGGGCCACCTTGTGACCGAATGTTTTGCTGAGTATATAAATCCAATGTGCACAGCTGTTTGGGGGCTTGGGTATGGTGATGGAAGCTTTTTGGCAAAGTCAATGTGTAACTGAAGTGGCTGAAAGTATTAATGTTGTTTAACTACTTTCCTGCCAGAGCGTTTGCATATTACTGGGCTCAGTGTTACACGATGGTTCAAAAATAGAAACTAACATTTACTGCATTCATTAATTGCATTAGTTGTAGAAAACGTGAAATTCTTAAATGTGCCAAATTAAAGCAAAAAGGTTAGAGAAATTGCATTTTATCGTTAAGATAGTCTCTTGGTTAATTTGTGGGCTATTGAAAGAAAGCTGACGTAGGTTGTTGAGGGGCTATTTTTCTGGGGTTTCCTTTGTTTAATACGGCCTCTTTCAGTAGTGAGCAATATTTCTGATTTGAAATTAACTTTTAGCATAATCTTAACAAGGGCTAAATCTCATGAATGCATAGTTCTTATTTTTCATTTATTTCTCACCTCCTTAGCTGAACTTGTTTTGTTTTTCATATGTCAACGCTCAGATATTGAGTTACTCTGTGAGATTGTGATTTCCTCCTGTGGGAAGGAGGGCTTTTCTGAGCCATTGGAGACTGAGGGATGAATCAGACCCATATTTACCCTAATGTAATTTTGGAGAAATTCTGTTAAAGGTGATAGGGTAGCTTGGGTCAAAGCAGGACACTGCTAGCTTATTTCCATCAGTATTAACATTCTTGTGCTGGCAAAAACTGGAGAAGAGGGCAGAGTAGACGCTGTAAATCTTTCTCTTTGGTCTCTGTGCTTAGTTTTTCTAAAAAAAGTAATGCAAGTGCTGTCATTCAAAATATGAGTTTAGTATCTTAGTAACCAGCATGATGGTCATCTTGCTTCAGAATAGTTGATGCTAACCTGATGCTACAGATGGGCTGGGCTGGTAGCACTGTAGGCTCTGTAGTGACCTTGGAGAAAAATGAGGTTGTTCACAAGACCATGAGATTGGTGTGAGCAAAAGTGCAAGTCCTTAATTGCCTGTTGCTGGTTGATTTATTTTGTGGTGGAGGAAGAGGCAGAATAAATACTTGCTTACTCCTGTATTTGTCTTCTATTCTGCTAGGCCTCGACAGTGATAAAATCCCTCTCTTTGATGCTTAGGGACTATTGAACTATATTACTATGAGTGTTTCTTACGGTACTTTCCAGTATATCGTTTGAGCTGTCTTCAAGGTTAGATATGTTGTTTATCTCAGTAAATTAGAACTCCCCTTTCTTCACGTCTTTTTAATAGTGATTACGTGTTAGTGATTGCTAAATGTGTGTGTGATGGTGATTTACAGTGAAGTAACAAATAAAAACGCTGATCAGCTGTGTTTTTGTTGGAAAAAGGTCACTTGAAATGATCGTAGTGTATGCGTTATAGTTTTAGAAAGAGGAGGAGGAAGATATTTCTTGTCAGATCCTCAAGTTCTCTTGTAGCTTAAAACATTCTGGACTGTGTATACAAATAGGCAACCAATAGTTTTTCCTCTGTCCTTTAGACAGGATATTGCTGCGGGCATTTAAAAACTCTGAGAATATTAGCTTTTAGGATCTACCAAGTTTTATTGCAGGGAGGAGGTAATGGTGGGGGGGAAGATGGGGAAAAAGAAATAAATGTTGTTTATGGAATCTTGGCTAATTCTTTTGTTTGTGTTCTCAGTGTGTGAAACAAAGTCTCCCTCAATGAGCGACTTCCTCACTGGGCTGGAGAACTCAGGTTGGTTACGGCACATTAAAGCTGTGATGGATGCAGGTGTCTTTCTTGCCAAGGTAAAACTGTGCCCCAACCTGCAGGTGAATTAAAAAATATGTACTTATCTGTTAGTGACTGCTCCAAGGCTGTGAAGTCAACTCCAGAGGGAAGGTGGGAAAACCTTGCTATTTAGATTGGCCTCAGCTCTAAAATAACAAACCTGAAACTGGGTTTGATCACAAGAACAGATCACAAGTAGGTTTCCCAGCTGGTGCTTTCCTGGTTGCTTCCTGTGACTAAACGAATAGCCACGAGTTGAGGCATTGTCCCATTCGCTGTATTATAACAGTTACCTAGCCTTTATTAGAACTCATTTGAAATATATAAAATCACAGAATGTGAATAAGTAACCCTTATAAATGCCTCTGCACCCTGCAGCATAATGAGTCATGCAAATAACTCATATGCTCGCTCAGTGTTCTCTTTAGTTATTGAAGTGTTTTGCTTTAAATGAGGGATTGTTTAGACTAGTTTATCTTCTGGTTTTATGTGATACAGGGACTGCTAATTTTGATTGATCAATGCAGTCCTCCTTTCCAGAGCTTCCAGAAGAGCATGACTTTGCTGCAGGTCAAGCAAAAGGAGAAAACTCAGTACAGCGCGCAGCTCTTCAGTAACAGGAAAGGGAATGTAGGCAACAAGTAGTGACCTTCTGTCAATATTGTCTCTTCTCTGTCAAAATTTTCCAGTGTAGCAAGCAAGAAGCTATTTTGTGTTTCTCCTCTGCCGCTGGTACAAAGGGAAGAAGGTGATCAATAAGGGAGGAAGTTGGGATGAGCTCTTCTAATTTTTCTTGAAGTTCCCCGTCCCTCGGTGTCCAATTATTAATCTTTACCCATCCACCAAATTTTTCCTCCGAGGAAAGAATTGAGCGTTCTTGGCATTTCAGAAAACTGAGCATTTTGAGATCAGAGGATCTTTGTTTCTTGACAGTCTGTGGTGCTGACGGGGCGTGCTCTACAGCATTTTATTCTAGTTGGGGTTTCCTATGGGTTGATGGCTATATGCCCAGAAATGCTGCATTGCCATGGTCCAGCTGAGAAGCGACAAATTTTCCCCTTGGGTTTTAGGGCAGTCTGGTAAACGCAGATGAAGGGAGAGCATTTAATTACAGTGGCCAAGCTAGCAAGCTACTAAACTGTTCTGTCTGGTCTCTCCTTTGCAGGCTGTGAAAGATGAAAAGGCTAGTGTGTTAGTCCACTGCTCCGACGGGTGGGATCGCACCGCTCAGGTCTGCTCCCTGGCTGGCCTCCTTTTAGACCCATTTTATAGGACTTTTAAAGGCTTCATGGTAAGAACATGAATGTTGGAATTTCAAAAATAAAAAGTGCTTTCTGGATTTGGAATGTAAATAAGCCCTAATTAAATGTTTTAGGCCATTTCCTGGAACAAACAGTAGGTGACCTATATAAAAACAGCTTTGATTCTATAAACAAGCTTTAATTGCTCTGAACAGCATGGGCACAAAACGGCAGTGGTTGATTTAAAATTCCCAAATCTTTATATTCTTGATTGTCCAATGAGAGCCACTAATGAGACGTTTCAGCAAGAGATGAATGAGCAAAGGATATATTTGTGGACTGCTGCCAGAATAAAGAGATAAAGAAACTCGTCATTTAAGACGAGTTCATATCTGCTAGGAGTTCAAATTGGGCGAGCTCATTCATGTACACAGGGCAAGCATAAAACCTGTATATTGCATAAAATCTGTGCATCACTGAAGACGCGTTTTGAAGCCTTTACACAAGAACGTGGCCATTTCTTTCTAATACAAGCTTTTTTTATATGAAGTCTTTACTGCATGAATATAGTGCAATCTATGGTATTTCCATTCATCTCCTTTTGTTAAATAGCTGAAAGATTTCATATATTTGTGTGTGTGTGTGTACATGTGTACGGAAGAGTTCCTGAGAGTTCCTTAAAAGAAACCATGAATCAGAACAAGGCAAATTCTCCCTCCCCAGATGTTGTGTATGTCTCTCACGCTGCTGGAATTGTTACCTTGCATTACATGCTGTCGTTTATTATTATTTTTGCTTCTGAGTACTACAGTCTTTTAATAGTTACATTTATACCTGAATATGAAACATTAGCTTGGACTTCTGTAGTGCTCTGGGCAACTCTGTGTGAACTATGGAACATGATTTTGATGAGGGTCAGGAGCTGTAACCTAGACACTAGAACACAGCCAAATGCTTGCCCTCTTTGCATACAGTATATATGCACAGATCCTATGGCAATGGTTATACGTAGATGAATGCAAGAGAACCATAAAGAATAGAAAAATTTGAATGAGCGATACAACTTAATTATCAAAGATATTTTGTGAATTTCTACCTTTTGTTCTTTTATCTCTGGATGATGATATCAGGGATTGATTTTTTTAATATAAATAACTCTAATCAATAAATCACTATTAATATTTTCCTTCACTTCTGTGAATATATTTATAACAATAGGGTCAGCAGGTAGCATTGGTTATGAGTTGTATATTTAGTGTTTAACATCAAAGGCTTCATTTTACTTTTGCTAAATAATATAATACTTATTTCATTTCGCCCTCTGTTTTGAAATTGAAGGTCCTAATAGAGAAGGAGTGGATTGCAATGGGACACAAGTTCTCACACAGGTAAGAGCATTTAATCTGGGATGTAGTGACTGGGGGGAGGCTGGACAATGAAAGCGATGTAGTCTTTTCAGGTTCATTCACTCCCGTTAACATTTTAAATGAAAACACAGCAAAGGGAAGGTGGGCCTGCAAATCATTTCTCAGATGTTGTGGACTTCAATTTGGAAACCACTGGAGTCGGTGACATAAAGCCAGCATCTGCTGCGGTTGTTAGTTCACCAGTGCTTCTTTTCCTGCATGTTCTTTTGTCATTGCTTTACGAAATGGTAGTCTTGAACAGATGCTTTAAATTTTGGATGTATTTTCCTACTTGTAAAATCATATCCCTATTGTAGGTGGAATGTTAATGCTTTGGCAATACTTGTTAATACTCCTGCGAAAAATTTCTGGAAGAAAATCTCAGTTAATGTTTTTGAGGACCTTTTACCAAGTTCAGAACATAAGTTCATCCCAGCATAGTGTCAAAAAACAATTTGACCCGTGTTTTCTAGGCAAGTTAAAAATACTGTCGTCCCTGTAATTGATAGCCTGCCTGTGGCAGGGATAGTATTTTGGTTTGTTTGTTTTGTTTATTTTAATTGCCATATAGAAACTAGAAATTAACGTGTCCGAACTAATACTAGGAGGGAGTGGACCAGCCTATTCAGTGATGTTAGCTTATTAAAACTTGAGACTTTGGACTCAGTGTGAAAACTGACTCCTCTTTTTAATAGTAAAAACAAATCCATTTCCTTAAAGCATATTTGGAAAAATGAGCAATATGCACACCCTTATACTGGTGCTCTAGAGAAGTGGTCCAAAGATAAACCACTATTTAAACATTGTCAGCCAAACTAATGTTCTGCGGTCACTGTTTCTGCTTTTGTAGGAACTGTTTTTGCCTTTCTTGCTTTTCTAAGACCGGGAAATAAATTCACCTATTTTCTATTATAAAGGATTCTTTATGTTATAAAGCGTTGTTTCAAATATGAGAACTTGGCAAGGTATACAAAAGTATTGCAGAGACAAACTTCACCATTGTCTGAGAACATGAACTTTTGTTCCAGTAGATGGAGAAAATCGTTGCTCTCCTAGTAGTAGCCTCTGCCTTCTGGTTCTTAGGGAGATTAATCTTTCTTTGCGCTGCTTGTTGAGGTAGTGTAGTTGAAATGACAGAGCCAGGAATTGGTGTTTGATTAGCTTGATCTCTTTAACAAGAAACCTTACTTTGTTTTTGCACTTAAGTTTGGGGAGAGCAAGTAAAAAAGCCTAGAGCAATAGGTTCCACAAAATTGCATAAAGTCAAGGCTTGCTTCCGTGGATTTCCAGGTTATATCCCTTTCTGCAAAGGGAGGATTCAGTGCTTTCCTGTTAAGAAAGAAGAGTCAGGGCAGTGTAATAAGAGGGTTGACTACTTTCCAAAAAGACCATAGTTCGTTGTCTGGTTATTCTTTGTTTCTTTGGCTAGTTGTTTGCTGAATTAATAGGGTTTTTCTGAACTCCATCTAAAACTGTGGGGAAAAAAAACTTTTTGGGGGGTAATTGCCTATGTTTACCTAGTTGCCTACAATGCTGCCAAATTGTCAGGATTTAATTTTTGGCATCCATGTGGGCAAGATCAAGTTGTTTTGGCTGTCACTGCCCATTGTGGCTATGCCTACGTGATAAAGTACTCTCCCAATCACAGATGATCATAGAGGACGCTTGGCAGGCTGCTCCATGTGGGACTACCTTTTGGTATCTCTTCCTGCACTGCCCGAGAGTCTCCATTTTTTTAAGATTCTGTGTTGATGGAAGAGCTAGATAGTTTGGGTTTATATTAATCCCTGAATGGAAAAATATGAGGTATAGAAGCACATAAAGCATTATGAGATTTTGCTATTGATCAGAATAGCCCTGTTGTGTGTGGGAAGAAGCGCGGGCCCATCAGGAGCTTACTCCCTTGAGGATGGTACACCTTGATGGGCAGTTGCTTTAAGATAGACTTTTTTCCCCCCCCCTCCCTAACTCTGCAGAGTAATTCCTTATTCTGGTCGTGAAGAAAAATCCCAGCTATTCGAGTTCAATGGCTAGAGGATTTTTTGTTGTTGGGGGACAGAGGATTTAACTTTGTTTTGTTTGTATCTCTCTAGGTGTGGTCATTTGGATGGTGACCCTAAAGAGGTATCCCCTGTCTTCACTCAATTCATTGAATGCGTCTGGCAACTCATGCAGCAGTTTCCATGTACATTTGAGTTTAATGAGCGTTTCCTCCTTGAAATCCATGACCACGTCTACTCCTGCCAGTTTGGCAACTTCCTTGGGACCTGTCATAAGGAGCGTGAGGATCTGAAGTGAGTTGGCAGTTTATGGAGCCAACAGTGTAGAAATCACTTCAAATGTCAAAAAAAGGGCAGGTCGTGTTTTTGTTTTTTCATGTAATTGTAGATTGGTTAAGGGTAGCATTCTCTTGATAGTTGCTTATGTTCTACGGTGTGAAAAAGTTAAGGAGGAGTTATAACCCAGAGTCAGATGTTTTAATTTGGACCACCGTAATAACTTGCAGAGGTCACTTTTGGACTGGATATTGTCCATTTTAAATGATTATCTGTTCCTTGGTGATGTATTTTGTGTTTATGAAGTTAATTAAATACTATGTGGAAATAATTCTTAGTTACCTTAATCTAAGTCTGCTCAGAACAGCTGGCGTTATTAATCCACTTAATGTGATTTTATTTTTTTAGTGATCAGGTCTTATTTGTATTTGACAGAATCTTTGAGAAGACCCATTCTCTCTGGCCTTTCCTCTTACAGAAGAAGCAGGAGTTCAGAAATCCATTGTATAGAGGTTTTACAGCTTACAAAGAGCTTCAACCAAACACGCTACCTTTCAGTTTCCAGTAAGTTGCTTACTGAAGAAGGGAAGAGCAGGGGCCTTTTTTTTGTTGCAGTGGAGATGGGTAACTCAGGTTTACTGAAATGCCTTTTCGCTGATTAGAGTGGCTCACTTTACTTCTCCACTCCATTCCTTATCCAGTAACTGAGAGTAGCAGTGGACAGACACTTGTTAAGTGCAAGTACTGCAATTAAAAATAATATTTATTCTTTAGTAATGAAAGGGAGAGAGGTGAGGGGGGGAAAAAAGCAAGTGGAATAAGAACTTTGGATATGCACATTTCTCTCCTCTCCCCTCACCTTTCTCCCCCCCAAATTCTTGCTCTGACAAAAGCAGAAGAGGGTAGGCAATTTTTAAAAGATACTGCCTCCTTTTTACCGTGTAATAAGGAAGTCTTTCATATGTGAATTCCAGTGCCTGGTCACGCCCAGGCCTATGCAGTGAGGGTGGTTTTGACAAGAAGGGATTTCTTGTAGTGTGCATGTATGTATTTCATTGCGCAGGATGCTATAGCTGGAGCGGTTGGTTTTGCTTTGTGTTTCTCATTCACTCCTTTTCCCTGCTGAGGGAGAGAGATGCAAATATGTTCGTAATCACTGCGTGTGATTACTGCAAGGCAAAATATTTCATTAAAAGAAGGAAGGTAATATGAGCCAAGAACTTGAAGGTGAACAGTCCAAGCCTCCAGTGAGTCTGCTCTAGAGCAAAGGGCAGTTCCCTCTTGTTCTAATAGCTATCTCCAGAGTATGTGGATCATAAGGGAGAAGTATTGAAATCCTCAGTTTTCATCGAACTTCGAAGCTGTATGAAAGCTGGCTCTTCATACTGAGTTTTATAATCCAAACTTGTGACTTTTTTTTAAAAACCTATTTGTAATCCAAATTTGTTGAAAATCCTTTTTCTTAGACAGTATCTAGTTTCTGTTTGTCACGACAACTAACGGACTACAGGTCTTTTAATTCTCTTTTTCTTACCCTGTTCTTGAGGTTTTGGTGTGGGATGTATAATCGTTTTGACAAAGGAATGCATCCAAAACAGTGTATGTTGGATCATCTCCTAAGCTGCGTGAGCCAAAAGATGAAACTAGAGGACAATGCATCTGAATTGGAGAATGTGAGTCCCCAGTGTTGTTAATAATCGAAATCATATAATAGTTTTGGCAAATTTAACTGGGATTAAAACAGGAAAATAGGGAGGTGATTGTACCACGTCCACAGATTGTCACTGAACAATTGTTTCAACGTGCTGGGCGGAGCTGGGCAAAAATAGGTTAAATGATGTAGCTGTAACAAATGGGTTTGATTACCCAAACTCTGTTTGCTAGCTAAAGTTGTGTTTAAATAGTTTTAGTTGAGTTCTGTTGCCGACTCATGTTGTTCTAATTTTCTAAACAAACAGATGTTAAAAGAACATCTGGGTTGCAACATATATTGTTCAACTTGCAGCAAATTTGGGGGGGGAGGAGAAAAAGCGACGCCTTTTTTTCACAAAGAACATGAAAAAATAAAAATACTTTTGATCTTGGCTAGCCCACAAATTTTTCATTTACAAGACGCATTGGAAAAGCTGGTGATGATCCAGGTATTAAAATAGTGGTATTAAGTTAGCCTTCATGAAATGGCCAAAGAGTAACTGGATGATATAGACCATATTGTCCTCTAAAAGTGGCCATCTTGGATCTAACTTAAGTGCTCTGTTAGGACAACACAGGGCAAGCTTGCACTTTGACTGCTGTTGTCTGTGGTGCTGGAGAACAGAGATCTTAATGGCTTCAGAATAATCAATTTCTACCCTTCCACCTACAATAATGAAGTAAATGGAAACATACTTTCAGATTGCCCCCAGGTCTATGTTCATCTGTATGAAGATACAGATAGCTATCTCAGCATGGGATGAGGTGGGGGGGGGGTAAGTGCAGACAACACTGTTAGCTTTTCCAGTGTTGTAGTTTTGTGTTTCCGTAGCTTCTCTAGATTCCTGGAATCCTAGATTACAGACCTGAAAGAGGCACTGAGGTACTTGGCAGAGGACTGTTATGTTGACAGTTGTTTGTTATATGTTCCTGACATCTGGGAATTTCAGCTTTCGTTAACTTTTAAATGTCTTTCTATCTGTGTAGAAGCTTCCTTTCCTTGATGGTCCTTTACCCGCTGAAGTTTGCTCCGTACCTAAAATGGGAAGTGCTTCTTCGAAAACACCGATGCTCAACACTCCCCAGGATTATGAAGGGGAACCACCTCCTGTGTTGACTAATGGTACTGCGGTGGGGGATATAGATGTTATGTCGGATGTGGACCAAAAGAACAAAGAGAACCTGTCTAAGCACCAGGACCTCCAGGACCTTAATGACCCCATCGGTGCTTTAGACTCTGAAGCGAAGGACTGAAAGCCTCAGCACCATTGCTCTGAAAACTGAGTTAAACGAACCATGCGCTTGTGGTGGTAAGGCATATGAGATCTGCGCCCCAGTGAGGGTGTAGCACACTTAACCCTTTACAGCTAAGTGTTAGTATGTATATTTGCAGGGGCTGTTCTCCCGCTGCAGAGAACACACTCTGCGTTTGGTTTGTTTTGCGTTACTGCAGTTGCAATGATGAAGAGGCATGCAGAGCTGCCACGAAGGCTGTCTTGACTTAGAGCGTAAACCTCATTTCACAGCTGAAGCGTGGTATGTGTTTAAGGTTTATAACTGCCTGCCAGTACTGGTATTTCAAGCAAAAAGACATCTTGGCTGATTAACGTGGAGGGTTAGCGGTTTGACAGTGTTTATAACTTGAGTAGGAAAGATGCAATCCATTTCTTTTCAGCGGTGGTGAAAGGTTGCAAATGCCATTTCAGTTCGTCTTCAAATGATAAAAAGCCTTTTCTTACCTGTGAATGAATCTCTGCATGGACCCTCACCTTGTGGCAGAACAGATTCATTTTTTGTTTCCTATGCATATTTGTTAAAAAACAGAAACAAGAAACCCTGTGCCTTTTCATGGAGACCATCTTAATGTCTAGCCATGCAATATAGTATTTTTATTATTGTAGTGTGTAGTGTAGTATTTGGTTGTCTTTGTAGTCAGTATTTTTACACTAGGTTTTGTATCTGCTGCCAGCTTCCCCAGGCTGCTCCCCTGAGTTTAATAGCTTCTTTCTAAGCCGACCTTTCAGAGAATAAGCTTTTATGGACTTTACTTACTGATCTTGAGAGTGCAGCAAGCTGCAAAGACAGCCTGTAGCACATCTATCTCTGATAGAGGCAGGATTAGTAATGAGAAAGTATAGGAGGACTGTTCAGATTTACATGGAATTTTTTGCTCTTGTTTTATGATCTTGGCTAAATAAAACAAGAGAATAGTTTTTTATTCTAAGTTGGAATTAATTTGTTTTTCTCAGATCCATCAATGAGGCAATAATTACAGATGAGGTGTGTTCTGCTACTGAAATGTAGGCTAAAAGGATGACTTCACTTCACATCTTGAATGATAATAACGAGTGTTATCTTGGGTATTAAAACTACATGAAACCTTAGAGATGTTTTGTCCGTACTGCCAAGACTTGTGGAAATGAACACTATCGCTCATGGCAGTGATCTTTGTAATTTTGTGAAACTGGTGACAAAAGGTCAATCGGGATGTCACCCACTACTGGAACAAAGAAATGGACATCTTGGCTCATGGATCTGGCTCCACCTTGGACTCACTTCAGTGCTTGTTCTGCTGCTTGGCTTCTTTAAACTGTGGTAAACTCAGCTGGAGATACTGGTTAAAACTGCCACGTGTAAAAAGGAGAAGAATATTTCACTTATGTGCAACTCTTCTCAAGAAACAAGGGCTTGCCTCCCCAGGGAGGTGGATGGCCCAGAAGAGCTGTACCGCAGTACCTGTTCTGGACAAATTTCTCCTATAGGTGTGTTTAATTGCACAACGAGTCCCTTTGTGCAGTTTAATTCATTATGTTTTTCAGCTTTCTTTGGATCATGTTGTTCATATCAGATATTGCCATCTGGACTTCAAACCAGTTTTTCAGTTTATAAAATTTTGAGTCAAACTGAAAATATCTTCTCAGTTAAACCCCCCCCCCAAACCCTTAATAAAAAGTAAAAACATTCCACTATAATATTGTAAAACGATATAGCCTTTGTTTGTATGCTTATGATCTAGTGTGAAATGACCAGGTTAGTTTCCGCGGTCAGGATTAACAAAGTAGAAAAAAAAGAATCATCCAAGTGTCTCCCTTTAGGTGAGAAGATACCTTTTATTAAAGCATGTTAAAAGACCCAATTAGAAAGGACAATACCAGAGAACATGCAGTTTCTTCGGTGCCTAGAATGGCAGTGAGAAACAAACTTAGTGTTGCGGATTTTAAAATCTCCAAGCAAACAATCTTTAAGTCGGCTTAAAGAATAGTTGTTTTCAAGGTATGAGTGAGAGAAATGCAGTGAGGAATTGCTTTAAAAACGAGGCACGTATAATACTGAACCAGATGTGCGTAAACAGAAGACATTCAAGTCTTTTTGTACGGGTACATATGAAAAATATTGCATCATGCACAAGAGCTATGCGTTTTGTTTTGAAGAGTGCACCGAAGGAATTGCGCTCTTAAGTCTTAATTGCACTGCAGCAAATAGAGAGTTCAAAATTCTGCTCTAGATTTCCACTAAAAAGTGTTGGGCGAATTCCTGCCCTTTGCCTCTTTATAGTGTAAGAGTTCAAGTTCACATACACACGCTTGGCTCTTCTGAGCCCTTGTCAAATAGACTGGTAGATTAACCTTGTCTTTCCTCTCTAGGTAGTAGAAGAGGTGTAGCGGATAGTATGTATGCCTTCTTAAATAGGGAACTCGTAAATGAAACCAAAATATGCACTTTTTAGGACCAATTATTTTACAAGTCATCATTCTCTTATGTGATTTCTAATGAGAATTAGAGATACAGAATTATAGAAAATTTTGACTGACTACTGAAGGATTTGGGCATACGGTTTGTTAATCTTTGTATAAGAACATTTTGCAAAAATGTTTCTGTAAATGTTTACACACTGCCTTGTCTTTTGAATTACCATGGATTACCTTGGAAAAAGTACAGTGATCTTTGCTTATTCCTAAAAGAACATGACACTGACATCCCCTTAAATCTTTTATTCTTGACTATGACATTACTTTCTGCGCATACAGCCCTGAAAAAGATTACTTTATTCACTGAAACTATTTCTGAGCTTTCAGTAGTCTTGCTGCTTTTGACTTCAGTAGCAAAACAATGCATGACTTTATACTTTGAAATGCAGAACCTAGCCAAAAAAAAAGGGTAATGATCTGTCTTCAACCTCTTGGATATAGTATATACAAACTTGGTCAAAGTCTACGACATATTTAAAACCATTCATGCTGGTGCTGTAGATTTAGGGGGCTGGAAAAGAATCCAGGGTTTCCTGGAATTCCATGAGATCATTTGTTTGAAAACCAATTAGCTAGAAGCTTTTTAGTTTGGAAGATAATTTTTATGCGTTTCAAGACCAAAAATGAAAAGCTGTTTAAAGCGCTGCAGCACATCCTCAGGTCTCTGATCAGCTGGGACTGGCTTCCTACTGTGGCTTCTAGACTCTTGCAGAAAGTGTCTGTTCAGCTCCTTATGGAGTGCCCTGCCTGCTGATAGTGGTGAGTGGCTTGATTGTATCGTCCCTAAAAAAGTATTCAAGGAAACCTAAAAACCTGTTACGTAGCTATTGTCTTATGTAAGCGCTGTATGGAAGGAAAGTTACTGTAACTTATTTATTCCTAGCTGAACGTCCATGTGTTGTTAAGTCACGAATACGCTTTCATTGGGAGCTGTAAACTGAACAATGCAACTTGCTGCTTTCCGTTTTGTTTCCTGTAGCTGGGAGAACGGCGAGGGAAGAGGGATCCTATTTGCTGTGGGTGGGTTCTGTTTATGTGAACCTCCTTCTATTTCTGGAAGATCTCTTGCTTTTGATGAGATACTCCAGTGGCTTGACGCCTGTACGTAGTCTCTCTCCCTTGCTACAAATAGGTGCAGCATTGCAATGGGAAGTGCCTAAAATAGTCTGTGTTAAAGCTACTACTTTGCAGTAGAAGAGGGACTTGCATAGTTTTATTTCTCAGTAAAATGTCTTAATGTGAACTTCATAATGCTGGATTCTTAACTTATGTTTTGTTTTGCAGTTGTCAGTGATAGACAAAATCAAACCAGTGCTGTTTCACTGCTTTACAGAAAAAAAAGGGAATATTTAGTTTGCCCGTAGATGCTCAGTTAGCATCAGTTCTCAGTTGGCCTTCTTTTACGGTAGAGGAAAAGGCTGTTTATTAAAAGCCCATATGTGTACTATACTCTCAGCTGCATTCTGTTCCTGATCTTGGTGTGAACGCCTTTTATTTAAGCACTTAGAAGAAATACCTTCCTGCTATGTGGATGCTTGCTGATAGCTGAAGCCACCTTGAATAGGATGAAGAAAGAGATTTGCTTGTAGGTAGCTGGTAAACCTGAGTTTGGGGGCATCTGGGGGTCCTGGTGAGATTCCCTGGGAGCTGAAGCGCTTTGCAGGATCACTGCCTTGAATGAGACCTGGTTGGGTTGCAGGTGGAAATACCCAAATTGAGAAGTGCCCGGTGTCTTCTGTTTCCACTGGGTTTAGTGATCATGGGCCCTGATAGTCTCCCAGAAAGCACCCTTGCATGTTGCCCAAATAAATGTGTAACATATGCAGGGAAAGCATTTAAGAGAGCTTTTGTGCCAGATGCAGTTTCAGTTCATGTTCAGGCAAACCGGGTCTTTGGGTAGCTTTAGTGCCTGACTGTTGCTTCTCAAAAGGAGTAATTTCTTGGCACTATTCAGTAATGAATAGTGACTGAAAGAACTCAAAATGTATCTGTTGCTTCTGTTTTGTTTTCCCCCTTCACCACCCTCTTGCATCGAGTGCTAGGATCATTTTTTGTATGGACCTAAGGCAGTTAGCAGCAGCTGAGGCGATCCCTTGTTTACGTCCCGTCCCTATTGCACACGGGCACATCCAGCGCCTGAGTTCTTTGGGGGGAAAGTTTGTTCTGAATGTGGTAGTTTGATTTTTATTAATACACAGCACTTGATAAATATAGATGAGAAACATCTCAAACCGTTGAAGTCCATGTTTTCCTAACTGTCTAGCACTGAGGGTAGCCGGGTCAGTGTAATTTGTTAGGGTAAGTATTAAAACAAGCAGTGCTTCTGCCCTTTGATGTCTTTGAACTACAAAAGCAATGCAGAAAAGAGGGTAGGTTAAAGCGGGTGACCTGTATCTCGTAACGTTTATCTGTGTGGGTATGGCCCTATGCGTGCATCTGTATTTAATGTAGCAGCATACTACTGGTTAAACTTGTAGCACTGGATCTAGTTGTATGTAACTGAGCACAAATGTGTACCTTTCTTATCATCCACCAGCTGATCTTTGTAGGAACTTACCTAAAATTGTGTGTAGTATTCTGCTTAAAATTTTAAATGTTTTTGCTGTTTCTGCAAGTCAGTTGTTACTTTTGTCCTTAGTGTAATTGTTGAGGGGCAGTTGTATAAAATTGTGTGTGATGAAATCCCATGTTCTTGAACGTGTTGCAATGGCCATTTACATATAATTCATCTTAGTTAATGCACTGCTTAAAAAACATGTACCATATTTGAAGGAGCACTGTGTCCTTTTACTCGAAAAGTATTTGTCTGATGAAGTTTCGTTTGTATGACAGTTTATTTTTATTTCCTACAAAAATAAATACCTTGCCTTTTTAAAGTAAATGATTGGTCGATCTCTTTAAATTTAGACTCAAAACAGAAATTCACGTTTTGAAATGTGAAGACAATTAAGACTGTTAAGTAGCGGGCTAATCTGAGTGCGGTTCCACTTCCCCATCTTTTGCAGAAGAGAAAGTAGGTGACCTCACTGGTTTCAGAGGGACCGCGGAGTATGATGCTGCCCAGCGTCTTTAAAGAAGCAACGATGATACTAATGAAACAGTATTAAATCTCTTAGTAGCTTTGGTATATTTTGTGGCTCCCACTTTCTAGATCAGATTTTCCTCCCGATGTGTATGAAAAATTAATATCTTCTTGGTGTTGTCTTTCTCCTGAAAAGCTGTCTGGCCTTCACGCACAGAGAAGTCTGTCTGCAGGCGGCCTGGGGCTGACTTAAAAGCATACTGAGAAGCAACTAGGACTCTGTCCTGGCCCCCTGGTAAGGAACTGAGTCTGACCTCTGTGGGTGTCGCACGTGGTAACAGGCGAAGAGATTTTTTTTTTTTTGGTAGCTTTGTGTGAAAAATTTGCAGTCCGTTTGCTGATGGAATCATTTAAAAATGCTCTTTTATCCAGTTCCTTTGAACTATAAATTCAGTAGCAAGTCAAGATTTCTTCCCCCCCACCCCCACCCCCCTCCCCAGCATGAGGACAACTCCAGTGAGGTGGGAGAACGCTCTAGGGAAGCAGGAGATTTCAGGCATAAAATTTGCTTCATGTTTATACATAAGTTGAGAACTGGTGCTTTAATACACCTGTGCTGTAATGATCAAATTCTACAATTAAATCAACATTAGCAAAGCAGATACAAATGAGGTGATACCTAGGTAATTTGCTCTTATAAAGAGTCTTTACAAAATGCTTGAGGATGCCATTTTGACTGTTAAATTTATGTTAACAGTCAAAATCTGAGCCCAGCAAAACAACGCAGGTTATCTTAGTAGATTCACATACAAGGGTTTGGAGTTGTTTAGTACTCCTTAAGGGAGGTGGGGGGGGGGGGGGAGAGAGAAGGACAGAGGACAGAAGGATATAGAGAAAGTCGGGGGCCACTCTGAAAGAACTGACGTTTCCCGAGTCTGTTTAGCATGGAACATTCAGCCTTGAATCCAAACCTGAAAAGCCCAAAACTATCTATTGCCCATGAAGAGGGAGCTAAGACCAAGAAAACTAGGAATGGGCCCAAGAGCAGTAGATGATAACGGGTCCTTCGCCAATGCTATCCCATAGCACTGTGGATCTGAAAAGTGTGTATTTCTTTTCTGTGTCTTAAGGCAAAAACGTGCCTGACAGGTGGGTATTCTTAATCCTCAGATGTTTCAAAGTCTCTTTTTCTTTTTGCTATTTTTAAATATTCTTAATGTTAGCAGTGCAATTATTCATTTACCTAAATTAGACTTTCCTTGCATTTAATTGCATCATTAGTATTAACACTGAATGGAATTGATAAAGCTGTAATTTACATTTCAGGGAAACTTATTGTGTATTTGACAGCACCTTTGCTGAGGGTGATTTAAACTTCCTTCCCTATTGAAGTTAAGTTAACATTGAGGGGGCAGATTCCATCTGGAGTCATTGTAGGAGTAGTGCTAAAGCCTTATGTTTTTAACAGCTGCTAGTTTTTATTAGCTCCTGAGCATACCTTACATTAAGTAAAAATACTGATCAGCAAACTTAATTGGAGCTACATACTGAAAATTGCTATTTTATAAAGTCACATCTGCTGTTCTAAATTGAGATGGGAAAAGGGAACAGTTAACCTACTTTCTTGTTGAGATTCAGGTTCATATGTGCAGAAAATATCTTAAAATGGTTCTTGATCCATTTTACTTCCGCACTAGTGTGGTCTTTGTTGCAGCAGAGCAATAATGTTTTGCATCTTCGTAGTAATGTAACTGTTAACTCTGTTTCATTCAGTTCGGTTACCCAGGAGTTAAAGATGCAGGTGATAATCCACTAGGGAAGTGCTGTTTGGTGTTAAGGCTTCATACGTGTATATAAAATGGGCAGACTTACTCAATGTTGAAGGCAGACTGCAAATTCTTGAGTTAATGACTTTAAAAAAAAAAAAAAAAATCCAGACTAGCAACAGAGTGCATATATTTTAATCTCTTTACACAGGCAAGTGCATCAGATGCTTTCGCTTTACTCACTATAGCACAATAACAGCACTGAACCTTCTGCAAAGTTACTACTGACAGGAGAAATGCGGTTGGTCCTTTGTGGGGTCTGGACAGATCAGTTAACGTGGAACTGCTGCAAATTGTTTTCCTTGTGAGGTCATACCATTAAATAAAGCAAAACTTTACCCTGAATGATGTTGCTTTAAAAATTGGATCATAGGCAGAAGATTGGACTAGAATTTCTCTCAAATGCAATCCGTTTCCAAATTCAGGTGTTCTGCTGTAACTTATGTTTTTGTCTGGGGGCATGGGGGCTGGGGGCAAAAACGTAGAGTACTGTTACGAACAGTAAAAATCCTGTGAGGTCAAATTAGAGCCTCATTTTCCATGTCTCCATTGCAGTGGTTTAGGGGAAAGTGAATGCTATTTACTAAATCTTGTTTCTCTTTTTTGCTCAGCAAAGAATAGATCCCGGAGCCTATTCACCCATGGGAGAAGAAGCCAGTGTGAGTGGGAATTGATAAAAATATATATAAAAAACCCACTTGCAAAAAAAGCCCTAGTTAGTAAGCAGTTGACTGAGTGGATCTCTGCAATTAGAGGATGCTGCTCTCAGATATTGACTTTGCAGGCTAGTACTGCAGAAATGAGGCAGGGTTACGAACCAGGACTAAGGCTGACTAGATTCTCCAAAATCAGAGTATCTTGCAAGCGTTCTACGGCTTTTATACAGCATCTGAGGACAGTCCCCGTCACTGGTGAGGCACTTGGAGGGAGTTAAACAATACTGATACTTGGGCCAGTCCAAAGATCCTTACTTGTGGGATAAACGGTTTGTGATCTCGGGGCAAGGCTGTTTTTTGGATGGCCGGACTCTTAAGTTGTTAGGGTGTTACTGCCTCCAGAAATCTCTGGAATTAAAACCAGTGCCTGTAAAATAAAAGTAGAGAGATCCCCACGTGCTCCCCTCAGTAACTTTTCCCGAGCATTGACAGCCTGCAACACATTTAATAGAGACTACTGAGACAAATAGTCAGATTTTTGTGAGCTGTCAGTGTTAGGCAGATAAACCCGCGTAACAGAGCTGTAACGTGCTGAGCTTGGGTCTTGTGTTTTAGGCCCTTAGTGAGCTGCTTCTTGCCTCAGTTTATAGCTGCTGGCTCCACTGCATCCTTGGCTCTGAAAAGAAAGGGATGCCTGGAAGGCTGGAAAAGCAGAGAGCAGCAATTTTAATGCATCCGAACTTCTACAGCTCCTATGCAGCGGAAATTCTTTGAGGAATTACAGAAACCAGTCGTTCCTTGCTTCCTCCTTCAGTTCACTGAGCTCATCTGATTCTGCAGTGGTTTTAATTACGCGTTTCTTTGTTAATACATCCATGAAACTGTAAAATGCCCAAGATTTGCATGGTTCTGGGAGCTGTTACTGTGCAGCCTATGTGAGGCTAGCCAGAGCGAGGGCTGGTCGGCGTGTGTTCGTGCCCTCTCGTGGGTAAAATCTGCAGCACATTGCTGCTGGGGACTGTTTGTGTCTGTAGTCGCTTCGAAGGGAAGTCATAAGAAGGGTTGCCAGGAGTAGGAAGATGCCAGTGCCAGAGAACTGTGAGCAGATATTTTGATTGGCACGGGTGCAAATTTGGAGTTCAAAGCGGCCCTGGATTTGTTAATGTTTTGCAGTGATTTAGAGTTCAAAGGGGGAAGGAGTCAGAAGTCTCCCCATTCAATAATTCCTCACAGCAGACTTTGAGGGCTGTTAGTAAATTCTTAATCTGTGTGAAATGATTTATTTGGCACTGCTTAGCACTTAACTTTGAAATCAGACCGCTTTGCGGTGTTAAATCAGAAAGCTTATTACCTCTTTACAGCTGCGTTAAGAGCTGTAATCTCTTATAATGAAAGCAACTTTGTTGGACAGGATTTACCTTCCAAAGAAACTTCTTGATTGGCATTAAATATACTTCTGCCCTTTCATTCTTTACCGAGTAATGGAAAGTTGATAAAGGAATGATTTTGCCTGGAAAAAGATACCGGGTTAGCTAACTTGCTTTGGGTGATTCCACTTGCTCTTTGAATTCTTACAGACCATGAAGGCTTTTCCTGACTTCAGACCTCCCTGCTATTTGAAGCATGAGGAAGCTTAAATGGGTCAGACTTACCGGTCGACTCTCCTTAGACTTCAGTTTGGCATTTATCTGAACCTACTGATTTAAATATTCCAATGAGATGCTACTTAACACACTTGGTTGTTAAGGGACCATGAAGAGCATTTCAGTTGCTTCTTTCCAGTTGAGGGTAGATTTATTCAGTAAGCAATTGTACTTTTTTTTCTTCATTAGTATTGGGATTATCCCTGTTACTTCCTGAAGAGCTTCTATTGTTTTTAAGATTTCTTTTCTTGGTAACAGAGCAATAATAAAAGAATATGCAGTTTATCCTTAAATTTCCCATTCAAAGGGTTTCTTTTCACAGCTTTAGCTTCCCTTACAGCTTTTCTACCTTTCATATTTTCTAACGTGTTGAATTGATTTTGTTATCTGTATCCTCCTTTTCCCTTTAAGATGTGCTGTCTTTTTAATTGCTGATTTTATTTCACCATTTTGTGGAACGGGCTTCCAGCCGGGGCGCTCTCTTCTGACTTTGGAATCCCAGCTGTGGTTGCAGCTTCTTGTATTTAATAAATCCCTAACTCACAGGTTTTGCTCAAATGTTTATCCAGGTATGTCCTTCGCAATAATTTCATTCGTAGTCTTGGCTTTGGAAAATGGACCTTTTCAAAGTAACAACCTCCTACTTTAGAGTGATTTTGGAGAGAGTGCAAGTAAACCAAAAGTCTGAAACCTATTAATATTTAGCAATTTTGTGCTCGTCACACTTTTCGCAGTGCGCTGCAAGCTCCCTGGACCGAGTAGGCGGTGGTGGAGACTTTAAAAAATGTTTTAGAGTCCCCCGATTTTAGTCCTTGCAGTCGTGGAGATTCTTCTGCGGGGTAACTTGGTTCCTTCCTTGTTATCTAGTACCACTGATAATGCCACTTCAAACTGTCAGGCTATTCCTTCTCCACTGCCAAAAAGTTTGGAAGAGGTTTACAGGGAACTGGGTAAAATACAGTTACACTTACCAGCTGACAGCTTTTGATAAGACAGCCCAAATACTGCTTCCCGCTTCTTTTGTTCACCCCTGTAAGGATTTATGCCTTCTTATATGCTGCTTAAATTTGTAAAGCCAAAGAAATGGTTTGTTCCAGCATAAGAAACAGGTCAGACTTGCACCCAGGAGTTGTCTTGAGAAATTTGGACAGTCTTCAGCGGCTTTGGTCCTTCTGTGCCTTAATAAACAAAGCTTGGGCTTTGTTCTTACTGCTCTTACTGCTCTGAAAGTTGAAAAGGAGTCGAGAGAGGGATTAACAGAGAATCCATTTGGATGCTTGGCAATAACCGAGGAAGAATATAACAGCCCTAAAAGCTGCCATCGGTGCGGTAGATGTTTCAGCCGGGACCTGGCAAGGGCCTGACTGGTGGCCCAGGTTATAGCAGAGCCTCCAAATGAGCCGAGTTGTGCGAGTTGAGCAAGAAAACGGTGAAGCAAATGAGCAGACCACGTCTGCTCGGAGCTTACGCCCTGCTCGAACGGCCTCGGGCACCTGTCCGGATTTCCCTCCCCCTCTCTGCCCCTCGCTATATTTACCCTTCCAAATGGGAACTTTCCAAGAATGGAAGTAGTAAGATAAAACGCCTGAGGGGGCTAAAATTAGCCCGAGAGCCTTGGCCCGTCTGCCTGTGGTGGCATTTCAGCCGCGAGCTTGACAGCCTGCTTTGTTCCCGTTCGGCGGAGTGGGCGTCCATCCCCGACGCAGGAAGATCCTCGCTCTCCTTTTTCATTTAAAGCAAGAGAATTAAGCATGGGACAGCAGCCTCCTTCCCAGCCTTAGGTGAGCGTCATCTACCTCACAGAGGTAAGGCAGCAGCATAATGATACCTAGACAACTTGGGGCAATTGCAGGTAACTTGGTAACCAATGCTTTAAAAGTGTGAGTATATTTTTCTGTCGCTCTTATGTCACCTGTAGCCGCTCTAGTGGATTCTCAGATGTGCAGGCAGCTTCCTTTAGCTCTGGAGGTGACACCTCACTTCTTGACTCTTTCTGCTCAATGAGCATCTGTAGGCTCCTCACACCAGTGTTCACACTGTCAAAGTAACGTCCCTTTGGAGACGTTGATTTCTGGTTTTTTGGAAACGTTACAGCTGTTCGTTACTTTTCAGGCCGATTTCCATTGGGAATATATATAACTGTGGACTCTTTTTGAACTGATTTTTGAACAGTTCCCTCCCCCCTCAGCCCCCGACACAAAGTCACGTAGCCGGGAGGGTTTCAAAGCTCCAGGGCTTGCTATTAGTGTATCTCCTGAATAATGTGCTAATGTACGATTTCACATATTTATAATATAAGTTGATTGGGTTAGCTTAACAGGTTGAAGTGCAGTGGGGCTTTGCCTTCCCAAGTTGACATCGAGTTTGATCTGCTTAATCAAAAAGTTTAGTTACCGAGATGACCTTGCATGGGAGACCCTTCTTAGCAGCGCATCGTGCAGTCAAAGGCTGATGTGGGACGTGTCTCCCGTGGCTCTGTCTCGTTAACGTTAGGGGCATGTTTGCAGAAAGAGGCTAATTGCTTCGTGCTGCTGCTTTCTATGCTGAAACCAGGGCAGAATCTGAGGAGGCGTCTGCGAGCCGTGAAGGAGATAGAGCTCCGCAGCGATCACCTCTTGTGGAGGAAATTTGAGCTGTAACGGGGAGGGAAGGCAGCAAGAATCCCTGTGTAGCCAGCACACGATCTCCTCCTCTTCCTCCCCATGTCCAGTGCACCCGCAGCAAGAAATGTCACTCTTCCAGCCTCGCTCTTGGGGCTGGAGGAGGCAGGAGAAAGGAGAGAGAGTTTGCTGCTGTTAAATTCGAACGTCTGCATAGTTTCAGAAAGTTTTATGCTAAAAATTCGTGATGTGAAAGGCTAGGCTTACTCCAGCTTCAGCTTTCGTTTTGAAATCAAATCCAAACTGGTCCCTTTAAAAATGGCAGGGCATAGAAGTTATCAGGCGCTTGTTCCTGCCTGCTCTGGAGTAAAAGTTAGCAACACAATCTGCTCCTAAGTCATCATCAGAATTTTCTGTAGCTTCCAAAATATTTGTTAATGTGATGTAATTGGTCAGGCTTTTGCAGAAGTGTTGGCCAGTGCAGAACAGAGCTGATATTGCTATTTTCAGACATGCGCTTCACTTAACAGCTCTCATGAGGAACGGCTGGACTGGCTGATTTCTGAGGGTTTTGAGAAAACCGGTGGCCTCATTTACCAGTTGAGCACAGAATCTTTTCAGAAGTCTAGTTTAAAGGAGCCGTGGCGACACACAGGCCTATCCTGGACTCAGGGTTCGAGTATCCCACAATTCATTCCCTACCCTTTGCCACCCCTGGGGGCAGTAGCATAGCATTAAAGCGTTAACAATAAAAACAAAGACAGTAAGTTGGTGAGCTCACCCATGCAGCATATGAACTTCAACACCAAATTCAAACGTATCAGCTCGTGTTTGTTCTTCATTGCAACGTTTTTGAGAGAGGCGGCCCCCGTGCATGCTAGAGCAATCTCCTTGGTCTTTGTCTTAAAGCTTCCCGAGTGTGGATTTCCTCTCCTGTGGTGGCAGGGAGGTATCTGTGTCAGACATACCGTAATCGAATGTTGTCTGTGTATTTTGAGAATCTCCCTTAAACTGTAAAAAAGGTGACGGAGCTGGTGTCGGAGAATGCAGGTTCTAATCCTCTTTTCTTGTCATTCCATAGATCTCGTGCTTTACAGTTTACAATGAAAGTGGTACTTAGGAGACAGACCAAAAAAATGAGCCTAATGGATATAACTAAAATTTTCTCCATGCTCCAGCCCAGAGAAGATGAAGAGGATAATGGAGAAAGCCAGGAGCTGAACCAAGCAGTATCTGAGGATGACTATCAAACTCTTGATAAACTCTTGCGCCAAGACAGATACAAAAGATTTATCAACAGCAGAAGTGGCTGGGGCGTACCCAGCACTCCCCTCCGCCTTGCCGCATCCAAGGGCCACATAAGGAGTTTAGAGGTCCTCTTGGCCCACGGAGCGGACGTGGACAGTCTAGATGTGAAAGCGCAAACGCCGCTGTTCACTGCCGTGAGCAACGGTCACCTGGAGTGTGTTAAAGCGCTCCTCGACGCGGGGGCCTGTCCTTCCGGCAGTATCTACAACAACTGCTCTCCACTGCTCACCGCTGCTCGAGACGGAGACATCTGCATCCTGCAAGAGCTCCTGGACCATGGTGCGGACACCAACGTCAAGGCGCGGGTGCCCGAGTGGGCTGCCAATTCTGCAGCTTGCTCTGGCCCGCTGTACCTCGCTGCGGTTTACGGGCACCTGGAGTGCTTCAAGATGCTTCTGCTTTACGGAGCCGACCCCAATTACAACTGCACAGACGAGAAGATGATTGCACGGATCAAGCAGCCCAAGACCCTGCTCGAAATCTGCCTGAGACACGGCTGCGGGAGCGAATTCATCAAGCTGCTCATTGACTTTGGAGCCAACGTGTACCTGCCAAACGTCGCGGGAGAAAAGCTTGTGCCCAGCAGCGAAGGCCTGGAGCTGCTGCTGAGGGAGAGAGGTAACGTGCGCGTGTGGCCGGAGGGCTGGGAATTAGCACCGTCTTCACCTCTGTGACTGCTTGGGTGAAATTTGGTTCGGGTTGCCCCTCCTTTTACCTCTGCCTCCCAACAGTGAGAGGGAGATTGGTCTGAGTAAGGCTTCCTTACAAGGCTGAACTCCTTTGCGTATACGAGTCTCCCTCTCCGGGTTTAATCTCTTGAATACTATCACTGTTACTTTGAACTTTCTCCCTCTCCCACAATAATTGCTGTCCTCAGGATAAATAAATAATAAAAAAAGGCTCCAATACTGAACACATTAAGAAAAGGATGTAGCAAGGTCACAGGGAATAGGTTCACCACTGGTCGTTAAGTCTCTTAGCCTGAGCACAACCTCTAGGTTAGGAAAGTTCTGCAAAAAATTGCTGGAAGTTGGAAGACAATATCACAGAAGAGACTGTTTCTAATACCCACTAAATATCCTAAGTGTCTGCTTACTAACCATTGCCTGCAACTGGAGACCGGCTACCTTACTATGGATCTTTGATGTGACTCAGTGCAGCCACTACTTATTTACGTTGTTGTCCTTGTGGGACTCATCTCAGGGGCTGCTTTTCATGAATATCTAGATGTTTATAAAGATGATGTTGTGAGTATCACTTCTGCAATTGGCGCTGGTATAGACTCTGCGGGTTTTTCCATATCAGAACCCAGTATTTTCACTTAATATGAATCTACTGTGTTAAATATTATTTTTCAACAAGACTCTTCTCCATTCCTTTCCTTTCTGGTGCTGCTGCCTCTCTTGCACTGCCTAAGTCCAGAAAAACTGCACTTAGTTTAGCACAGTGTTGGAAGATTTCATTTACATATGCCCAGCTCCCCTGGAATATATGCTGCTGAGCTTGGGGCTGAACGTGTAGAGCAATCGGCCGCAGCGCCCAACCTCTCCCACACCTCCTCAAGGTTCAGTGGGAAACTGAACTGAAAGTCTGCAGTGATTTCTATCCTTTTTTTTTTTTTTTTTTTTTTCCTCCCCCTCCCTCTCCTTACACAGCTCATCCCAAATCCCTGATGTCTCAGTCCCGGCTGGCAGTGAGAAGCCTTCTGAAGCTGGCTGGCCACGCGCAAGCCGTCGGCGAGCTGGAGATCCCACCCGTCCTGCGGAGCTACCTCAGACACCAGCCCTAGGGGGAAGCCCGCGCCGCAGCTCGAGCTCCCACGCAACCGCATCGAGCACCTGAATTAAAAGCTGCTCTGAAGTCACAAGCACAGCGCAAAACAGCCCTGATTTGATCAGCGGTTACAAAGTGGTTGTGGCTTAAGAAGTATCTCCAAAAGGGGCGGCCTGTGTGAAAAGGAAGTGAGCAGAGGGCAGGAGGGTGAAAGCAAATGGAAGAGACCTCAGCTCCTGCTCTGCACCAAAAGTGTTGGCGTGATGGTAGGACAGGATCTGATTTAACTAGTGTTTGGCTGTAAACCCTCTTCACTGAAGAACTTTACACCTGTAGTAGTTACTAATTGTTTGGAGAAGGGACTGAGAAAAGGCCTGATGGCCAGGGCTTGAGGAGAAAAGGCTGGTTTTACCTCCTCCCTTCTTGGGGAAAACCAGAGAGCAAGGAGGTAAAACTGGGCTTCATACCTGCACATTTTTCCCTGCTGTGTGTGTGGCCTTAGCTGCATGTAAGGCTCATTTCAGGAAGGCTTTGGAAGTGCTTCCTCTGTTTTTGAGCCTGGTGAGCAGAGCCTGTGGCCAGATCGGGCTGGTTTGGTGGTGGAGGGCAGAGGAGCAGTGTGCCCTGTTGAGAGCTCGCCTCTTATAAACCCCCACACTGGTGGTGGATTTCCATCCCTGTGGCCTGTGTCCTCTCTGCTGACAAAAAGGAGGTTGTCTTTGGCTGCATTTTTAAACATAATTTTTTTCCGCTCGCAAGTATTTTTTGTTGTTGCAAAGGAGGAGAGGGTCCTTTCTCAGCTGAGTGCCTCTGATTGTGCAGGGTTTTTCTTAAATGTATGCTACTGTTGTTATTAAACTATTGTGACCTGTTTGGTAAAATACTACTTAATTGATAAGGGAAAAGGCTGGAAGCCCAGCCAATATCATTTGGAAGTGACACAGTATTTGCTGGAAACGGGACTCTGGCCAGCAGCGTAACTACCTAGGTTTGCTCTAGTTCAGTGAAGCGAAGGTTTGGGAGCGCTCCCCAAAGGCACTGCCGTTCGATCCGAGCCAGACCCCTCTATTCACTGCTCACAAGGGGAACTAGTTGCTGTTCAAATAGCCTCTTGTGGGCAGGAACACAGGCACCAGGATTGCTCCCACTTGGCTACCTTCGTATTTACCTTTATAGAAGATATACTGATGTTGTCCTCGTGTAAGTTTGTGAGCCAGTCTGCAAACTGTGACCTCCTCTGCCCACAGGACATCTCGAATTACCCCACTGAACAACGTGTTTGCTGTGCTAGGTGTGAAAAATAGTAATTTTTCAAGTAAAGCATGCACAACCTATCTGCAGTGACTTTTGCTCTTCCATAAAGCCTACCGGGACTGGCTCGTGCAGAGTGAACTCTGTGATTTAAGGCAGAGAGAGAGCACAGGCGTTCCCAGGGTGGCTCTGCCTGTGATTCACTCCATGGCTTTGGCAAACATGCAGCGTTTTTTCTTCTGGGCTTCTGCAAAACCGACTGTTTTGCAAAGCGCTGGTCAAACCTGTAATTAACTGTGACCCATCCCCTAGCAATCACAGTAGAAAAAGCAACAAGGAGTGGTGGTTGTGTGGGTCAAAATAGGACCTTTCCGAATGGGATAGGCTGTAGGAGAGCTGCCTGGGCTCTGCTTTTTCAAGGAAAAGCAGAAGACTGGAGAACACAGCTAGAATAGATGTTCCCTGGGGTAAGTTCTTGTAACCTGTCATGGCTCCCTACGACAGTGTCATCTGCTTATGTATTTTAGTCTTTTGGTGCTCCCGAGCACAGTGGACAGGGCAGCTCCAGACTGCACTTTTTTGGTGCTTGCAGTGGGGGCAGTGTTTCTTAGTCTCATAAATCAAGGTTCACTATTACAGGCTGTAGCTCAGAGGAGACAGTAATGTAAATAGATAGCCTTGCTGGTCCCGCCTGCAGGGGATGATGAGTGATTAAAAAAGTGCCAAATGGGTAAGCTCAGATTGAGTGTTTTGTACTGTTCCTCACTCTACTCCTAATAACTGATGCTGTGACAGCAGGGAGCTGAGCCTAGCTTTCTTTCATTATTTTTACTGCTGCCTTTCAATGCGTTGAAGGAAAAAGTAGTGAAATCACTGGAGCGAGCAGTAAACTGTGTGGCTCATCTTGGAGAACGAGCTTAGCCGTTCAGCGCTGTGTTGTAACGTGACTATTGCTGTGATACAGGGGAACCCTCAGTGGGTTGAGAGGGGGATTTGCCTTAGATTTACAACCCTGCAGTGCCACTGCTGCTCCTTTGCAGCTCAGCCCATGTGTGGCTGTTACCTTCTGGACCCTCTTTAGGGTTTAGCAGCATATATTCCATATCCCGTGCCGTTTGTTTACTCTAGTGTAATTGTATCTCGGGTGCAACCACTGATAAAATAGAGGCAAGTAGAAGCTGTGCATGTGTCCAAACACATCACGTGGTGCCCTCGGGAGCTCAGGGCGTGCAGAAATGCTCTTCAGCCTCCCAGAGTGATGTTTTCTGTGAGACTCGGGCAACTTTGCTCCTAGCCGTTATTGAACGTCTCTTGCAAAGTGTCGTCTTGGCATCAGCTCGGGTAAGATTGCTGTTTGCAAAACAGGCACATTTTGCATTATTTATAGGCTTCTGATCTAACTGTTATTTCAAAGGTTATGGGTTCTATTAATCAGCATCTATTAGGCTGCCGGATATCTCCGGAGGGAAGCATTAAGGGCCCCCGGCTTGGAATACTTGAAATTAGCCCGGACAAAGCTTCAGAAACTGCTCTGAAAGGAGCAATTGTATGTTGGCTGTGGAACGGGACTCGGTGATCTAATAGGTCTTCATCTTCCCTTGATGAGATGAAGCAGCCTCTTCTCAAGGGGTGGGATTAATGGCACGGGAAATAATTCTCCTGCCCGGTCTGTTTGTACCCAGGAGCCCTCGCCCGTATGTTCCTTGCCCCACCAGGGCTGAGCCCCAGCAACGTTGAGGAACTGAAGAAATACCTGAATGCACGTTTTGTGCCCTGTGAATATCAACAGCTGCTGGGGCAACGCAGGAAAAGTGCCCTTCTGCATACTGTTAGTAGCAGAGATATGTTTGCTGGAGTCTGGGGCAGACACCCTAGATGTCCTGTGACAGCCATAACTCAGGCTTATGTTGCCTGTTCTGGTAGATCTGTCAGGGCAATAAACGTGACTGGTGCTATATACTTTGTTTCCATCTGAATTTTTGCAGTCTCCCACATCCTGGGAAGCTTCATTTTATTATCAAGTGAGCACTAATGCACATATGTAGATAGGAGCCTGTGCAGAGCAGCAGCGAGGTGCCCCTCTGAGGGGCCTGCATTGTCTCATGCTCACGTTCGTGCAGCCTGAGGCTTGCTCTGCGTTGTGCAGACATCTCCCAAAATAACAACCTCAGGCCTTCCTATGGCCGAGCCAGAGGTGCTCCCGCTCCAGGTGGCAGCGGCGGCCACGGCTGTGGGCAGTGAGAGGAGACACGCTGCGTGTGGAAGGGGTGCATTTCTTGGGTGACAGTTTAGCAGGAAAGCAGAAAACTGGAGCAGAAGGCTGCTGTCTCTGGCAAGTCGGGTGTAATCTCTGCCTGCATCTTCGCTGAGGAGGAGGCCTGACACCATCTGGTAGGGGTAGCTCTGGGAAAACGTTGGTGCTCAGCTGCATGTAACCCTGGTAGCACCTTCTTGGGGCTGCTGCTGTTGCAGAAGGGTCAGTCCCAGATCAGAGGGGCAGGAGACAGCACTGGGAGGGCAGCAGATCTGGGAGACAGTCAATGAAGACTCGTCAGATTCCTGCACTGCCAATACACGTGCAAATATACACTGACCAGGCTGTGTTGCATCCAGACCACTAGATTTGTGTTCCTTCACCCTTGGCCTTGGCTAAAAATCCTCGGTTTTATTTGGAGAGGTAGACAGAAATCCTTTCAGCTGCTATTCTGACCTGCTGAGGGAACATCAAGGCCCTCCCACAATGTATGGCGAGAAACCCATTGCTGCACACCTTACTCCTGGAAACCTTCTCGTTGTTTATTCAGCAACAATTTGTCTCTAGGCTTGTCTTTAGTGCTAGGTAATGGAATTAAAAGTAGAACAGTAAAGTTTGTTTTAAGCATGAACGCTAGGCTTACATCTATTTAGAGCTATTTATAACAGCCTGCGCTGGCTCTTCTACTCCAGTTCGGGACAGACAAGTCTTATGCTAGTTATACTACGGAGTCATTACGCTCTGTACTTCCATGCAGTATTTTAAATGCCTGCTAATTGGGGCTTATTCTGCTATCATTAGACCACTACCAAAACCATGCAGAAAGAGATTAGAGTTGCACAGGGGTAGGTGCAGCTTTTTAAATGTGACTTTCCTCCTGAGCAAACCTCCATCCTACCCAGGACCAACAAAAATGCCCCAACTCTCTAATCTTTTCCAGATCGAACAGGGACGTTAAATATTGAATCTTACAGTTTTCAGCGCTCAGAAGTCAGGAAATTGCCTCCTCTGCATATACACTGCCTCCTTGCAGCCCAGTTTATTGCTGGCTACCTCCCTGTGGGGTGGAAATGCTCGCGTATAAGAAGGTGCCCCGTACTTCATGACTGTATGCAGGGAGCACCTCCTGGCTCCTGAGCCTTCACCTTGTGATCATCATCCAGAGCACTGATTCATCTGGAGAGCTCTTTCGGGGTGGGGGTTGTGATGGGTCAGTTCCCTGATAGGGAAGGGACTGGGCTACCTCCCCTCCTCGCCCGTGGGCTGCTGAACAGGCTTGAGGAGCTAATGACTTCCAATCCCTGCTGACCTGGGATGGATTTGAGCTGACAGCCTGAATGGAAATATAATTTGTTAATATTTGAATGGATGAAAAATTTCATTTTCAGGGTAATTGTGCTAAACAAGTAGCAGCTGGTGGTTCTAATAACAGCTGCACATGTTTATTAATTAATGGGAGCTTCATGATGGGGAGCAGTTTTCAGCAGTGTCTCTGGCTCCAAACAGCAGGC